AATTTACGTTTTATTGACTAAAGAAATTGCGAGACCCTCGTCATCTAGTGAAACTTTGTTATTCGATAAATCTTTTGTCTTCAAAGAACAAGAAAAAAAATTTTTTTATTTTCCATCAACAACCCCATTTGACACAACTATTATTGGTTTAAATATCTCAGTTTCGGTTTCGTTTTTTTTTTTGCAATTGTCACTGGGAAAATTGTAATAAAATTTGCCCAGAAAATTGCAAGACGAAGGAAACGTTCAATCCATTGTAAAAAAAAAATAATTCACTGAATTCACTCTCGATTACCTACCACTTGCAAACCATTCAATTCAAATAAACCGTATATAAATATATAATTAATTATGTTTTTATCCCACACAACGAATGAAATCAATCAACTCCATTTATTTAGTTCTGTTTAAAATTCATCGGTATACTCTTTCGAATTTGTTAATGAATTAGTATCATTACTGTTATCTCTGACTCAATTTTTAATATTAAACTTCTTACTTTTTTTTTTACCTTTCTTTTTTAAATTTACACATCAGCGCACCAGTGTAAAATATTCATACACAAATAGTCGTACAACTGTGTAATTCACGCTAAGTACCTACGAGAGAAAGTTTCGTGGTTACAAATCAGATTTTAATTATTTTAATCTATTCAGTTACTCGATTAACTGTACCAATTATTTATGCATTCATCGATTCAAGTTTAGTCATTCTACCCCCTCCTTTCTCTCTAGATCATTTTTTATTTATTTATTTCAAATCTAAAATTGTGAACAATGGAGAATTTAGTCTTCATCGGTTTTCTTGTGATTTGTAATATTGCAATTGTTTATGGGTTAATAATAAATAATCTATGGGTGAATATTGATGATGAATGTCGTCATTATCATCGAAAATTGATCGATTCTATCAGGAGAAAAATGAAAACGTGAGACACAATAATAATCAGTTTTTCTTTATCCTCGAAATATTGGTAGTGTTGACATTGTCCATTGCGTATCTCAAAAATGGTGGATCTGGGAGAAGAGGTCAGAGGAACTTTTATCGAGGGGATTAAATTCTCCACAAAAAAGCTCCTACGAAGTTTCTCACTAGATCCACCCCCGCTGAGATAATCACATTGACAGTGAGAATAAAAATCATCTCTCACGTTTTTACATTTCCACGATAATTGCCTTCAGCATTTTTAAAGAAAACGAGAAAAAAAAAAAAATCTCAGACATCCGAGCGACCCAGGAGGGAAACCATGCAACATTCCTTGAAAAAGCATGTATACAACGATTACTTAAGCTCTCATTGATGAAATAACTATCAGCTAAGCGCATATTAATCCATATACTTACAATAATTTTTTTTTTTTCACCACGAGTGGGTCATTATCTAAATTCATGTTACCTTTATTTATTAACCATATTTTCTTTGTTAATAATTCAATGATACGAATACACTCACAAACTGATAAACAACTATAATATAATCAATCTTATATCGACCCTCGCGGATATTGATCATCTAATCTCCATCCCCCTCACAAATTCACATTATCCTCGTCAGCCAGTTAATCAGTAACTATCATCCATTATCAATTATCCCACCTCATTCATTTGTGAAAGGGTTTCTACTTACTCAAAGTGTTATCTTCTTCTTTTCTTTTTTTAAATCCACATTACACCGATACATACCTCATTATTATTTAAATATTAAACACACTGCAATGAATTCCAAGCACATATACGCCGCTCTAGACATTAGAATAATTACAATATCTCCCGTGAAAATAATTTTTCAAAAAGAAGAGAGAGAGAGAGAGAGATAGAGAGAGAGAGAGAAAAAAACGTTAACGATAAGGAAAAAATTCTAATGCACATTCACCACTCATTTGACTCTCTCCACCCATATCTTGGCTTAAGTTTAGTTAATCGTTTTTTGTTTTTTTTTTTCAATGCACCATATTACAACTATTATCGTGTTAAAAATTTTCATCATATCATTCGAATATTTCGTTAACCATCAGTTTTATCTAGATTTTATTTGCGTTGATTCCCCCTTCGATTGCATTATCAATGTTGATTTTTTATTTGGTGGGTGATTAATCTAGGAATTTGAATATTGCGGGTGAAAGTAAATAGTCAATGTGTAAGGAAATAAAGCGATTAGATAATAATCGAGGGATTAAATGTGACGAGGTTCGTCGGATTACTCCCCTCGTCACGTCAATGATCAATCATATGTG